CACACCTATAATTCCAGCACTTTGGGAGGCTGAGGTGAGAGGACTGCCTGAGCCCACAGGTTCGAGACCAGCCTGGGCAATTTGGCAATTCTTCATCACTACAATAAATTAAGAAAAATTAGCTGGGCGTGGTGGCATGAGGCTATGGTGGCTGTGAGCAAGCCACTGCACTTCAGTCTGGGTGACAGAGTGAGACTCCAACTCAAAAAAAAAAAAAGAAGCTGTTTGAATATCTATTATATATATATATCTTATATATATATACCATAGTATGATGTAAGTGTGTGTATGTGTGTTGTGTATGTATATATAAGTGTGTTGTGTATATGCATACACACACATTTATATGTGTGAATTGATAAAAATAACCTACCTGCCAAATTGTTTACTCTTTTGAAGAGGGCAGTAACATTTTGGGGTGATAGTAAAGGAAGCATTTCACTTTTTATTTTGTGCATTTATATTTCAAGAAAAGTATACTCATACATTAAGAATGCAATTTTGAAAATTCTGATGCTGGATTTTAGAAATCACCTTAGCCAAGTAAAGGCTGGGTATTATTTATGAGAACTGTATCTTTAAAAAAAGATTAAGAGAAAGTTAAGAAAAAGTCTTGGAGGGATAGATTTTCTTCCTTAGCTTGTTTCTTTATGCACATGAGCCATTTCCACTGTGGATTTTGAGTTGTAGGCTGCATCAGCACTCCATGACAGCCCATCTTTTTACCTAGTTTTAACAGATGACTTTTCTAAACGTTCTCCTCAGATCCCTTTTTTTGAAGATATGTGTAAAGGCATTAAAGCTGGCGATACCTGTGAGAAGCTGGTGGGATATTCTGCAGTATATAGAGTCTGTTTTGGAATGGCTTGTTTCTTCTTTATCTTCTGCCTACTGACCTTGAATATCAACAACAGCAAAAGTTGTAGAGCTCATATTCACAATGGGTAAGTCATTCTTCTTTTTTATATGCAGGACAGTATTCCAAGATCCCTTCTACTGTCAGTCCCTCTAACTGTTCTTCCTTTGGTTGAAATGGTTGATTTGGGGGAAGGTGGAACTTGTCACCACACAGTTGCCTAAGAGCTGGAATCCTATTTGTAACACCTGGTACTTAATGAGAAATTAGTGGAGACATGTTTATTTCTAGTACCAAGACCTCCACCCAGGGTCATTTCCACCCTGTAATAAAATGGTGTTTTGCACAGTCAGAGGTTGCATAGAGTCTCTCTAATTATGGGTTAAGTCATTCTTCAATCACTTAATTACTTCCCCTTGATTTGGAGAGAACATTGCCAATGGCAGAATCATGGATTAACAGTGTTTATTTTCTAAGAGGTCTTTTGTCTTTTCTTGAATATCATTTAAATACATTTCCTTTTTTTTTCTTCCAGTTTTTGGTTCTTTAAACTTCTACTGTTGGGGGCCTTGTGCTCAGGAGCTTTCTTCATTCCAGATCAAGAGACCTTTCTGAACGGTACTAAGGGCGCGTTTGGGGTATCTGTTTACTTTCTATTTACTTTAAAAGTAAAAGCATTGCCGTAAAATTATTCAACAGCATAGTCCAAGGTACCTTTGAATTACTGATTTTCTTGTGGCTTAAAAAAAAACTTGCTGTTTTACCTGCCCACCCTCCATACCCTATCCTCATTCCCTCTTCCCACCCTCACTCCGTACTCCCAGGAAGTACCTGACTACTCTGCTGACTGAATAAGTGAAATGTTAAGTAAAGCACTTTAAATGTGCTTGAAAACCAGTTTGGGCTTGCTGGTTCTGAGTACTACACAGAAAACCCATTACCAGCTAAAAATCTGCTTCTGCAGCTATAGTGGCATAAGAAAAGCACTCTTCCCTCTCCTTTTAAACTTATACCTTATATGAAGCTGTGTAACATTGAAATATATTCCTTATTGATAAAACTTACCAAAATTTGTTAATATGAAGACTTTTATCCATCATAGCTGAAACAGGGGCCCCTTGTTCATGGGAGCTGAGGGGAAAAGCCTAAATTTCAGTGGCTCAAAACACTCTGTTTAACTCAAATAGATTCACATTTCTCAATAAGGTATTAGAAACATTAAGATTGTATCAGTTCATAAGAAACAGCCATAGTCATTCAATGGTTATATATCAGTGTCTAGCTAGTTTTTGTAGGGTCATACTGTTTTTCATATACTCCTTTAAGGATGCTGTATACAAGCATTGCTTTTACCTTAAATATTGCAACTAGTTTGCCTCCCACAGAGATATTTTTATGTATTAGAATAGTATATTTAGATTTAGAATGAGAAGAGATCCAGAAGTCCTCTGGTCCAGCTCAGTCATTTTTATAGACAAGCTATGACCTATGTGACATGGTTCTTCCCAGGTTATAGCTTCTTGAGTCATAACCACAAATAGACCTGAAGGTCCCTTTTCTGAACCTTGTTCCTGCACTTGATACTGGTGACTTTTCACCCATGTTGATGAAAAGATGTCAAACTCTGTATAAAATATGTAAGATGGTTTATTCTTGAACCAAACTTGAGGACTTAAGTCTGGAACAATCATCCTCAGGAGATCCTGGTAAAGTGTGTACACTGTGTCCAAACGGTGGTTTGGTTATATACACTTTAGGAAGGCGGAAGTTACAAGAAGCCATAAATCAATACATGTGATATTTTCATTGGTTTGGCCCTGGAAGGAGGGACATTTCCAAAAAGGGGGCTTGCATTTCCTAGGTGGATTCAAAGATATCTTGACCAGTAATTTTGAAAGACTTTAGACCTGTTGATATGTAGATGAAGTCCTATATGTGACAAACTTCAGAGAGAATAGACAATTGTCTTACAAGTCTCCCTGGGAATCCAGTAATCCACAAGAGATGGCTTTCAGGGCATGAAATATATTGATTCTCTTCTTTTGTTTGTTGTGTGATGTTATGCCAAAGTCAGGTTGGAAAACAGTAGGGTAATAAAACCCTATCTGGTGAGTCCTTATTAGGTAGTGACTCCCCAAACCTCTTTTTTTTTGAGTTGGAGTCTCACTCTGTCCCCCAGACTGGAGTGCAGTGGCCACTCCCGGCTACCGCAGCCTCGACCTGCTGGGCTCCGACGATCCTCCCGCCTCAGCCTTCCGAGGAGCCGGAACTACAGGCGCGCGCTACCATGCCCGGCTAATTTTTTTTTTTTTTTTTTGATTTATTGTAGAGATGAGGTCTCGCCAAGTTGCCCAAGTGGGTCTGAAACCCGCGGGCTCAGGCAATCCACTCACCTCAGCCCCCCAAATTGTCAGATTACAGACTGAGCCACCGAGCCCAGCTTCTTTTTTGTTGCCCAGACTGGAGTGCAGTGGCCGCTCCCAGCCACCGCAGCCTCGACCTGCTGGGCTCCGGCGATCCTTCCGCCTCAGCCTTCGGAGTAGCTGGAATTACAGACATGCACTACCACGCCCGGCTGATTTTTGATTTATTGTAGATAGAGATGAGGTCTCGCCAAGTTGCCGAAGTGAGTCTTGAACCTGCAGGCTCAGGCAATCCACTCACCTCAGCCTCCCAAGGTGCGGGATTACAGGCTGAGCCACTGAGCCCAGCTTAGTTAGGAATTTGGGTAAGAAAAAAAGTTCAGGTTTAATCTTTACACAATAAACTTGAACCTTTGATTTTTTGTTAGCAATATGTGTTTTTTGCTTTTAAATTGTGGGTCACTGTGGATTTTATATATTAGGACATCTGTTAGGATATCTGGCATTGTGGCATAGAGGTTAAACTTGGGTGCGCCAAGTCAGACTGCCTGTGTTTACATCCCTACTATGCCTTTTACTGATTGAGTTTGTTGGCTTATTAAATTCTCAGTTTTTCTTGTTTGTAAAGTGAGTATAGTAGTATTACCCACCTTTTATGGTCATATAGAAATGAAATGTGTTAGATACAATGAGCGTCCTATAAAAAATAGCTGTGGTCATTATCTTTTGAGCTAAATACAGGGAAAGCTTACCTCATTGTCTTTTCCATGGTCTTTTGCAGCTTGGCGCTACATAGGGGCTGTCGGAGGCTTCTTCTTCATAGGCATCCAGCTTTTCCTGCTTGTGGAGTTTGCGCATAAGTGGAACAAGAACTGGTGTGTGCCTTTGTGGAAGCTTCCAAGTAAACTCTTGTTGATCAAGGCTCTACTCTGAATTGCATTGCCAGGGATTCATAGCCTGTTGACACCAAATACAATTTTTGCTGGAGCTTTCCTTTTACACCTGCTTTCTGGGCCTTTTTATTTACTCGTCTCCAAGACTATTTTTCTATTCTTCCTACAATTCCTTCTATTCACCTATTTCTTTTTTCTCATTTTTTGTCTTTTTAAAGTCTACCAGTGATACAAGTTAGCCACACTCAACATCCTTGCTGGTACTTATCAGTCCTGGCTCTGTGGATTTAGCGGTGGCTAAAAACTTGGGTAAGCTATGAGATTAAAAACAAAAACAACAACAAAAAAGACCTCATACTTTGGAGCTGGATGTTCATCTTCTGCAAAGAGTATGAAATAGTTCTCTCTTTTTAAACATTTGTGTTTCTTTTCAACTTTCTGAGCAAGGAGGGAGTATCCCTTAGTTAGAAAGATATGTTGTGATACTTTAGAAAGCCACCTTGCCTTTTAAAAAGATAGACTCTTTTTCTGAGTGCCTTGAAAGTATAATTCATATTCCAGTGTAAGTAGGAAATACACAATTATTAATAGCTAGTTTTATTTCTTGCTAATCCACATTGAGGAAATGACAACTATACAAGGGTCCAGTCCTTGTGTCCTAAGACCAAACTGACTCTGTAAACATTCTGGACAAAACACTTAACTGCTCTCTGCCTTACTTTCTTTACTTACAAAATGTATTAGGTTAAAATATATATCCCAGCAGGGCCTCAAAAATGTTAGATCATACCCACCAGGGTGGGGTTGTGTGATACGGTACCATGTGAAAGATACAAAGAATTGCACAAAAGTTAGATTGGGAAATACAGTTTATTTAGAAAGTATATTAGAGAAAGAGAGGAGATTCACCTCTCTGAGATAGGAGAGGAGCCAAAGTTTAGGAAACATGGAGGCAGCCATAGCTCAAAGAACACATGTCTGCACCAGAGTTTAGCAGAGCAATGGCAGCTGGCTGCTCAAGGTTGAATGCTTTTAAACATTCCCCTTGATGGTGACAGGTCATTAAGGTGGTTAGGTGGTGATCTCCATGTCATCACCAGGGGACAGGTAAGCACAGGCACTGACATGAGGTAATGGGCAGCAGGCAGATGGGTGGCTTACTCACATGATTGCTGCCATGGCGGTGGGGTCTGTTTTGTGTCAAGAAGGTCACAAAAGGGCTGATTAGGTTAACTTGGGTCTTACGGTTGGAGGCAAATACTTGAACTAGAAAAGCTAATTAGTACTAAACAAGCTGGGGAGGGGGACTGTAAAACAAATATCAATCACTACCCTTGAGAAACCAGTTCTGTCCTCGGCTAGTAATTAGAAGGTAAGTTAAGTGAACTGCTAGAAAAACATGACAGAGCTAAGCAATGTTAAAATGGAGGCTCTTTGGCTATACTGACTCCATGTTAGGTCCTTTCAAAATATGAATAAAGTCGGTTGTGGTGGCCCACATGAGTAATCCCAGCACTTTGGGAGGCAGAGGCAAGAAGATTGCCTGAAACCCAGAGGTTCAAGACCAGTCTGGGCAACTTGGTGAAATCTCAACTCTACAATAAAATAAAAAAATTAGCCAACCGTAGTTAGTGTGCACCTGTAGTTCTAGTTACTTGGGAGATTGAGGCAGAAGGACAGCTTGAGACTAGCAAGTCGCGGCTGTGCTAGCCATGACCATGCCACTGCACTCCAGCCTGGGCAACAGAGTGAGACTCCAACTCAAAAAAAAAAAAAGAATAAAAGTAACTGTGTATTGTATCCAATAAGGCTTTTGTTATTGTGTATATTTTATAGGCATCATTTTATTTTATACTGAATTTTGGGGAAAGAAAATCAAAAGTTCCATGTAAATTTTATTTTTATCCTGGACAAACAAAATACATTGTTCCAATTTTATTCTGGAAATGTTCTGCCAGGTATTTGTTTTTTCTTTTCTTTCTTTCTTTCTTTCTTTCTTTCTTTCTTTCTTTCTTTCTTTCTTTCTTTCTTTCTTTCTTTCTTTCTTTCTTTTTTTTTTTTGTGACAGAGTCTCACTACATCCTTCAGGCTGAAATGCAGTGGCTCAATCCTGTCTCACTGCAGCCTTGACCTCCTGGGCTCAAACAGTCCTCCTGCCTTGCCTCCCAAATAGCTGGGACTACAGGCATGCATCATCATGCCCAGGTTGATTTTTATTTTTTATATTTTGTAGAGCTAAAGTCTCACTATGTTGCCTAGACTGGTCTCAAACTCTTGGGCTCGAGCAATTCTCCCACCTTGTCCTCCTAAAGTGCTGGGATTACAGGTGTGAGCCACTGCACAGGACCTTCTTTGGTTTTAAGATCAAATCACCAGATACAATTGTAGTTACTGAGAAGCATAAGTGAAAACAGTGATACTCATTTTATTATTTGATATATATTAGATTAAGCACAGCCAAATATAACTAATTTTTAAAAGGTTTACGGAATATTGAATAGTCATACCAGTAGTCCTACAGATATTAGCTGGCATTTTTTTTTTTTTTTTTTTTTGAGTTGGAATCTCACTCTGTCGCCCAGATTGGAGTGCAGTGGCCGCTCCCGGCCACCACAGCCTCGACCTGCTGGGCTCCGGCGATCCTTCCACCTCAGCCTGCCAAGTAGCCAGAATTACAGGCATGCGCTACCACACCCGGCTGATGTTTTGATTGTAGAGATGAGGTCTCACTGCCCAGGCGGGTCTCCAGTCAGCGGGCTCAGGCAATCCACTCACTTTAGCCTCCCAAAGGCGTGGGATTACAGGCTGAGCCACCAAGCCCGGCCAGCATTTTTTTTTAAGTCTTAATCTCTACAATTGTACAGATTTCCAAGTTTGAGTTGTGCCCTTGTATAAGTTATATACAGTGTCTGCTTTTTGAGTCACTCTTGAGTCCTAGTAATTTATGTTGTGGTCTCCACTAGATCTTGTTTTGAGATTGCAGTTTTCTTAAAGAAAACTAAATGGGTAACTATATGAGGGGGACCACCCCCAAAGACAGAATTATCTTTTGTAGGGCGGGTGCCTTGTCATACAGGCTTCTCCCACCAGGTAAGTGTTCTAGAAATCCATCACCATCAGTGTACCAGCTAATGTTGTTGTGAGAGACTGCGTTTGACTTCAGTGAAATTTTTTTGGAGATTCTTTCAGTGAGTTTGTCCATTCATGATGGGTGATTTATGAGCGCATCTGCCCACATTATGCTATGAGTGTTCAGCAGTTTTTGATCAAAAATGGTCTGACTCCTGTGCCCAACCCTCCCTATTCATCTGATTTTGCTCTGAGTGACTATTTTGTTTCCCTGGATGAAAATATTCCTCAAAGGGAAATGTTTTACTGATAAGAAAGAGGTGAAACAAAAAACGGCAGAAGCACCAAAAGGTGTCAGAATTGACAACTTCAAAAGCTATTTGAGCAGTAGAAAAATGTCCCAATAGGTGTACTGCATTAAATGGAGAGTACTCTAAAGGTGACGGAAGTTTAAACATGTAAGAATAAATACACAATTTCATAAATAAAGTCTGGAATTTTGGGGGTATCCCTTGTAGCTGTATGTGACCCTGTTTTCTCAATTCTTTTATTTTTCATTTCAACAGCTTCAGGATATACCCATCACTCCCACCTGTGCACATTGTACCCACTAGGAGATATTTTTTGTCTGTCCCTTCCCCATTCCCCCTTCTGAGTCTCCAGTGTCGATTATACCATTCCCTGTGTCTTTGCTTATCCTTTGTTTGGCTCCCACTTGTAAGGGAGAACATATGCTGTTGGATTTTCTGTTCCTGAGTTCATTCACTTAGGATCTTGTTCTCCAGTTTTATCGAAGTTGCTGCAAAAGACATTATTTCATTATTTTTGATAGCTGAATAATATTCCATAGTGTATATATACCACATTTTCATTATCCACTGATTAGTTGATGGGCATTTAAGTTAATTCCACATCTTTGCTATTGTGAATTGTGTTGCAGTGAACCTGTAGGTACAGGTGTCTTTTTCATGTAATGAATTCTCCTTCTTTGGATAGATACCTAGTAGTGGGGTTGCCAGATCAAATGGTAGATCTACTTTTAGTTCTTTGAAAAATCTTCATACTGTTTTCCCATCAACAGAGTATAAATGTTCCCTTTTCTCTGCATTTCTTTTTTTCCTAGATTTTCTTTTAGGATTTATTTTATTTTTTTTTTAGTTGGAGTCTCACTCTGTTCCCTAGGCTAGAGTGCAGTGGCATGCTCATGGCCCCCACAGCCTTAACCTGCTGGGCTCAGGCAATCCTTCTGCCTCAACCTTCCATGTAGCTAGAACTACAGGCACGTACTATCACGCCTGGCTAATTTTTTGATTTATTGTAGAGAGGCGGTCACACCAAATTGCTCAGGCTGGTCTCGAACCCCTGGTCTCAGGCAATCCTCTCACCTCAACCTCCCAAAACTCTGGGATTACAAGTTTGAGCCACCGTGCCTGACCCTTTGAGTTTTTCTTGTAGAGCTGGTCTAGGTGACAAATTTCTTCAGTGTTTGCTTGTCAGAGAAAGATTTCATTTGTCCTTTATTTATAAAACTTAGTTTTGCAGGATATAAAATCTTTGGTTGACTATTATTCTGTTTGAGGAGATTGAAGATAGGGCCCACTCTCTTCTGGCTTGTATGGTTTCTTCTGAGAAGTCTGCTGTTAGTCTGATGGGTTTACCTTTGTAAGTTATTTGATGCTTTGTCTCACTGCTCTTAAAACTTTTTCCTTCATATTAACTTTGCATAACTAGATTATATGCCTGGGGATGACCTTTTTGCAATGACTCTTCTGGGAGTTCTTTGGGCTTATTATATTTGGACATTTAGATCTCTGGCAAGGCCTGGGAAGTTTTTTTCCACTAGTCTCTCAAATAGGTTTTCCATACCTGTTGCTTTCTTTTCCTCAGGAGCACCTACAATTCTTAGGTTTGGA